CTCAAGGACCTTTGCAGAAATTTTAACGAGCTCTCTTGCGCCTTGTTTATTTGCTCGATGGATTTGGGATTGTATACGATTGCTTTTGTCGTGTGTTTTTGTCTGTAATGATGTGAACGTTAGGTATTATGTATTAGCTAGTAATTGAACAGATTTATTGTGGTTCTTCCACACTTGTTTATCATTGTTTGCTTTTAAAGGTTAATCTTTATGAATCATCAGTAATTATTTTTCTATTGCCGAACTGTACTTTAAAAAAAATCTTAAAGTTGTGCTTTGATTCTTCATTATTATCAGCATATTAATGACCATATTACTACGACATAATCCTCCCCTCTTTGGTTTATGTTGTAATCAATAATGGGATAAGTGATGCAGATTACTCGATCAAGTTTCTGAATGAATGACGTACGATTACATACGAAGTACGTACGTAGCGATTGTTTTTCTCAAAAAATAGTTTTCCTCACAAAGAGGCTTTAAAATATATGGAAAGATAATATTTATTATAATGACAATGCCAACGAGTACATACACAATATTTGAACTATGATAATGCTTACGCCATCACTAATGAGTGTACAACGTCCGTTGTCATCATTACGTGAGCTTATTTATAAAACGACCCACGTAGCCTTGATCTTCACCTCAACATTAGCGGATTTTAAATAATCATTAATATCAATCGATCAAAACAAATAGATTATCTCCGATATTATAAGTGAACAACAGCCGAAAGAAGGAATTTAATTTAAAATATTTACAATAATAAGTTTAAATAATTCTTATATCATGATTTAGATCACAAATCTACGAAATTTTCTTGTACAAGAAAAATGAAGTTTGGGCACACCCAAACTTTGTCTACAGACAGTTTGTCGATATTGACATACTATGCGTGCTGCTCTACTAATTATAAAGTTGTAGCACTTAGTTGATCGCAAAACCGATGATATTATTTATATTGGTGCTAGCTATTCGTTTCCAGGTAGTACACACAAGTTTTGATTTAAAATGGCCATAAATGAATAACTAACGTTGCCCCCGTGTTCATTTTACAAATCCTCTATTTTGTTTTGACTAAATGACTATATCAGAATATGATTCTAAGTGATCTTCCAGATGTTTTTTTATGAAATAGTTTTTTTTTAATTCAAAGTTTTAATACTAACAGAAGTAAGTCGTCGATATGAGTATATGATAATTATACTCCAATCTAATTTACTCTTTAACGCTAATTACTGCTTCGTTGGTTCTACGTTTTGAAACGTTGTATCATCAAATAGTTAGTATTGTACCATGTATTACAGATTCACCTTTTTTCCAAAACTTAAATTATTGTTAGACATAAAATTATAAAAAAGGCAATACGCAAAAACTAATAAGTCTTTGCTTATGATCTTTTAAACGCTCATCAATTTTGTAATATTAGAATAGGTACACATAAATTCGCACATGTAGTATTTTTGTTTAAGTTTTATAAAATTTTAGTCAAGTCAAATATGAAATTTTTTTTAATAAAGTTATATATTATACAAATGGTATAGCCAGAAAAAAATATATTACAAGTTAATGCTATATGAAAAAAGACTTTTCCCCAACCTAATATAATTTATCAGTTCTCCGTTACCTACTAGACGCAACTCATCTTCTATTAGATACAGCACCGACCATAACTTTAAAACTAAGCTTTTTCTAATTTTGATTAATAACCAAGAAACCCGGTATTTTTTAATAGATGTAAAATGTTAATAATAATTTGGTAGGATCATGTATATGATAATCTAAAGAATGCCTTAAATACTTTTATCCACACATTATTCGTAAAATGTCGCTGGAATCAGAATTTTGCTCATACTTCTTGGTCACGTCTGATTGCAGTGGTGTTAGCTATTCGATTGCGATATTGTTTTATGTGCAATTTCCAAAAATGTTAGCAATAAATCACCCATCGCCATTACGATGACCGCCTTCGCATCTTGTAATTGCACAATTTGTGCAATTCCGTGTAAAAGGCAGAGGAGGAAGTGCGATTATTTAATTAACCGCTGAGTTACCAATAAAGTGTAAGTTTACGACCGTTACTGCAATCTTCGGCATCGAAAGATCAGGCCTTATTTTAACATTTAATTCCAGATGTTATGTCGAGTCTTCGGCTGTAAAAGTGTTTGTAGTACACTTGTTCGTAATAATCAGCTTGATTGCAATTTGTCTCATTATCGGTTTGAAGATGATATCAATAATGTCTATTTGACAGGAAATCTTCAGATCACTAGACAGGAATAAGTGTTTTAGTTTCTATTTTTATCTTTCTCCTGTTTCTCCTGCGATACCATTTGAAATCTATTCACTGTAGGTTTTGCCTTGAAATATTGCCGCTTTACGTTTCTTTGTTTTTATCTTTGATTACCCTCTTACTGAAAAATTATATACTCTTTTGTATCTTGTTTTTGTGATATCTCATGTCACATTACTAAATAATTGTATGGAGCACTTGTCGTTCAAAAATACCGTGCTTTAAATGACATTGTATGGAATGTGCTAATTGAGAACTTTAATTCAAAGTATGCTAACAGCAGCAATAACGTTAGGAGTGTCAGTTGATAAATATCAAAAGCACGAGAAAAGGTGTCAGTTATCTGAATACGTTGTGATGATTCGCTGATAAAACTAAAATAGCAACAATTTTCTGTTTATAATTCTTAATATAATTTGTCTTCTGTAAATAAGATATGTTATAACTAAAGTTAATCTATCAAGTTCCTACTAGTTCAACGTGCCGTTTGAGAATGAAAACACGTGTATTATGCAATGAATGTTTCGATATTATCGACCGGGTGGATCTGTGTCGACGATTTGCATGGCGTTGACCAACTATCGGTTCGTATTTAGGCTATGTTTGTTCACTCACGCTACCGCTAAGTGAGTTTAGTTGTAATCGTTAGCTTATTGAATTGTCGCTAGCACGTTTTGTGATATTTATTTTTAGGGTTGCCTTCAAAAGATCAAGTAAATTAACTAACCTTACCAACAGAATAACAATAAATTATACCTACGTTTCAATGTGCTCTAAGTAATTTTGAATGCACATTTCCTATTATATTCCTGTTCCAGTATTTTAGATATAGTTATATATTTAATGATATATTTTTCTCAATTGTTAACTAGACCGAATAAGACGAATTGGCAAAGTCTTCGTGACTTAGATATTAACAAAAATATTACTTGTGATTCTAAGAAGAATTAATCGGTCAGTTTAAATCGTCAATTTCACTTTTTTTTATCTTCAAAATAACCATTCCCACGACGAGAAACTTGCTGTGATATCTAGTATAAATATTGATAATACGATAACCGAATTAGTGCGAGAAGATGCGTAGGATGGGCCCTCTGATAAAACTAAAGAGCAGACGCGTTGCAAAATGTTTGCCGTTATGACCTCACATTGTTGATATATGTCTTCTACTAGCAACAGATTCTAAAGTTTTAAAATCATCTGCTTCTTTATTACGATATTGGATGATAATATTTTTGCGTGAATTCGTACCGTAGATTTTATTAATGTATGTAGAAGAGCGTGATCTAATTTGTAATTTCTATCGATTAAAACACCAGTTAATTGTATAGGTATTTGGTTAATATTACGATTTAGAGTAAATGAGTTAAATGTGTACTGTAATAGATGTAATAGGAAAGCAAAGAATGAAGCGAAAGTTGAGTTGACGTTTGACCGAAAAGTATGAAAGGAAGATAAATATTGTGCCGAAAATAAATAAACAAATTGGGCATTGGCAAGTAAATAGTGTAGTCGTAGACGCGTTTCAAGTTTGCACTCCATTTTCAAGATGTTTATTGATTTTACGATTTGGAGTCATCAAAATGTTTATAGCATTATAACTTCACGATGGTATTAGATAAATAGTGTACTCTTCAGAAAAGTGCTGAGTTTTCTTTTCTCAATACTCTACAAATTATTATTTGAAGCTTAGACACGTAATTCATAATTTAAATAAAGTTCACAAGTGCCGTTCAAATGTAAGCAACGGGTGTGTGTTAAACTCTGTCACTTTAGCTGTCTTTAGCTGCAGTGTTGACACCTATCGGTCATGAATATTTATCATTCATTATGACCAAAGACGAAACACCGACACACCCGTTGTACTACGCTTGTCTATGACTTTTACTTTCAAAAAGAAACTATTAATAACCATATTAACCGAATGATAACTTATAATGACCTTGTGTATGACAGGTAAGATTATTATAGTTTATGTTTTCTAATATACATTTGCTTGATATAAATTATGGTATACTATAAACGTTGCATTTGCCGATACAGTTGATGACTTGAATAACTTCTGTCAATAAATCATTGAACCGCAAATTCCTAACCGTTGTATCATTTTGTAATACTATTTATATATAACCGTTGTATCATCTGTATCTTATCACAATATATTATGTATCATTATTGTGTTATATACATGTATCGCGTTTAATAAAAGGTATTAGATCTAGTATTATGTCTATGCTTTCCCTGTTATTATGATAACCACTCTTTATCTTTCTGTTTTTACATGTATTAACCAGTCGAGCGTAATATTCAAAGTGCGTTATGCGTAACGTAAACACTTTCATTTGTGTCATCAAGATGTACGCCTTTTCAATTTCTAAGAGATATTTGCTTAATGATTTTGTCATTCCGCTACATGGATGCATCATTATTGCAGATATTTGCGTCAAATTACTGAAACACGATTCTGTAGTGAGCGCGTGCAGAAATGCCATGCGTGTTTAGGTCCTAGTTATTTGTGATCGTTATCTTGAGCTTTATTTACTGGTGTTAAAGGTATTTGACAAATGCTTCGGTGAACCTAATCACTGTTATACTGAGATCACGCACGAGCCCTATGCGATAGAGTGGAATATATCAATATCTGGCAACTATCCTACCTGATCTCTGTTCAGTATCGATTAACTCGAGTTTACCTACCTACTTACTAATCACGACTTGTCATTTTCAACTAACTTATAGATTTAGATCGTACAGATATCTCGTTGATCTGCACTGTTAACGGAAATCTAATAAATACTCTTTTATGTGCTAGTGATATTCGCCATGATCTGAACCCTGGTTTTTTGAACTCTGACCCTTTATAATGTCAGTCGTGGCGGCCACTAAGACCGTATTGAATGTATGAAGAATGTTTCACGTACAAAGTTCCTTCGAGCAGTCACTGCGGTGCGGCGATGAAATTTCGCCTAATGGTAACAAAACGTTGGCTGCATTAGCCAAAATTCACAAACATTGTACGGGCAAAGCCCACGCTCACGGATGTATCGATCACAAACTTAATCCCCTGGCCAAATCTGATTCCAACACTAGTCTCCAGTCACGCAAATCATTTCGGAGCGAATGTATCATTGAAATAAAAGAAGCGGATAAGCAACAAAATTTTATAAAAAACAATGAATTGCTTACAAAAAGTTTTAGTAACAGCACTAGTTCTTACGAAGGACATAGCGACACGGACTCTGAAAACACTTCAAAATTACGACCGGAAAATAATAAAATAACCGATCCATGCGAGCGCTTGTTTACTCAAAGCACGAAAGCTTCTTTGATGAAGACTGCTCGTATGCGATATGCCGATGACAGTGTTATATCAATGCTGCACGATGAAGTAGATGGTGAAAAGTGTAAACAACAATTTAATAGAACTCCCTTAAGGAGTAGCTATAGAGAAAGAAAATCGGCTGTTGTTACGATCGAAGAAGTTAAATTGGACGGATCGTTTCACGAGGAAGATTTAGCAAACTCTGTACTTTTCGATGAAAAGAAGAAAACATCTATTCAGAATAAAGTAGGATTGCAACGGAAAGGATCGGGAAATTCTTTGGTTAACGGGAAGACAACAAATGGAACTAAACCGCCGTGGAGAGGTGCGAGCAAAAAAGGAATTCCAGCAGAACCGTTCGTTCGGAGTCCTTCCTTACGCGGAAGTATTCGGAAGAAGACGACAAAAAATGATTGTGTACCATGGCGACGGCTCTACGAACTTTCGCTATGGCGAAAGTGTGGGGTGAGCTTCGCAGCAGTAGGCGCGGATAAGGAGCGTGCTCTGCTACGCCCGTGGGGCGAGTTGTCTTCCCATCAGCACCCGCCAATGTTCTCGGTAAGTCAAACGATAAACAGGCGCGTGCCGCGGGCACCTAATGCACTTTGATAACTCACTCGCTTATTTGGCAGCATTTGACTACTTTGATGCCAGCTTATCGACGAGCAACTCACGAGTTCAGTGCCATTACCTAGCGGAGGCAGTCACGCTGCATAATATTTTTCAATAAGAACCTAGCTTCTATCATGAATGTGTTAATGTTACGTAGCTGCTTCTTTCATACATCTTATATAACTACTATAAAAGCGACCTTTGGAATTGTGATAGTACTGCATAAACATTATTTTTGAAAGTGGTTTAAGTTTGTTTTTAACATTTAAGCTTTCAAAATCACTAGGCATTCTTAGGCAGTACTTCTTTAATAACTCATCCTTTCAAACATTTGATTTTTAAATTGTCAGTGAAGAATAATATTCTGTATTATTAATTAATTAGGTCATGATTACTCTTATATGGTTGACTTTCACAATATCCTCCTAAAGCTATTTTAAAATTGATCTTCTCACCTCCGCCGTAGCAATTTGGACCACTTTTACTTTCCTTGGGTCACGAATCTTACGAGGTCGTATTACAGGGTAATTCGGGATCAATATGTATGTAGTATCTTTAAAGTCGAAGTCAGCCGGAGGCTCAGTGGTGGACCTTAGGGCCGTAATTGCAGAAGCGGTAACAGTTTCTACCGTGGGACCGCTGTACGATTTACCACTTTGATTTATCGAATACTGAGTTCATAACTACTATAAAAGTGACCTTCTGCATCTCATTTTCTTGTTACTCATCTGCAAATTGAAGCAAGCCGTTTATTATGATTAATTAATTCAGTTTGTTTGAATTAGAATTAGTGTTGGATTTTTTTTATTGTACTGTATTACGTCTATCATTATTATGATTTTTTTTTGTAGGATAATAAAATGTTTGTGCATCTTAAATATTATGTTTAATCTAAACTTCCAGTTATTTTGCGGTATTTTCGCCGTCATATATCGCCCAAAATAAACTTATTCGTATTTTATAAAAATTTGCGAAGTTTTTGTATTATTCGCGTACAGACTGTCTCCAACAAACACCATTCTTTCACCAAACAAAATATTTTTAAAAGAAGATTGGTCCTCTTAAATTCACTTTCAGTAGTTCTTGCGAACAATCGATGTCGCCGAGCGGTCCCAAGGCGTTTACATAACCACCTCTGGGGAGCGACGCGAATACAAATTAGATGCAGATCGAACATACTAATGTCAGTGTTAAGAAAACAATGCGTGGGCTCCAGAGATAATTTGAGGCCGAACGAGAGACAAATACTGTGCCTTGACGTGTATTTAAAGTAGCAATTCCTAGTGAAGTGAAAACAGTTTTAAGTATCATCGCTGTCAGTAGTTAACGTTTTTTCAGTCGACTTTGTGATGTGACGTGACATAATGTTAAATATTTATTCCTAAATTAAGGGACACTAGTGTTGTTACTTAACCATCAAAGGGGTGGAAAGAGTTACAGAGATCTTTGATGACATTGACACTGACCCTAGATTTTACTAATGTAAAAGTGGTACTGGCATTTGAATAGCGTTTTTTTTCTTTGAATTTTTACACTGGAGTCCAATATAATGATAGAATGGCATCTTAATGAATCTGTGGTGACAGATATTTGTATTTTACGTTTCTTGTTGCTAAATCAATAATTTTACTATGCTTAAAAGGCAACACATCATAATTATATTAACGTTTAACTAAATTAAAACTCAATTAATGTTCTACTAAATTAAAGCTCTGGCAGATCTGATTATGTCAGTAACATCTACTATTTTTTTATTCTTTTGCAAAAATTTTGTTTTTATGGTCGATTGTACTTATTCGCAAAAGCAAAAGTATCAATCTCGATGTAGTTACACTATTACGTTCTTATGTCATGATAGTTCGGTGACCTATAATTCTAGATGATCTATCATTGACAATGTCGTCATTACAAAATTTTATATCACCAGAACTGGTTGTCTGTCTATGCATTCCTATGATTAATTGCAGCTATGAAGGTGTCTTCGTCGCGGTCGTCGTCAAATATGCGAAAGTGGTATGGCAACTCGGTTGTCTCGGTATTCGTAGTAGCAAACAATGGTCGTGCATGTCGCAACATCTTTAAATTCATTGCTAATCTCCCGTATAATTTGTCTCCTACACTCCTTAATGGTATTGCGAAATTGACGTTCGGATGCCTCTTTTATCACATCGACCGACGGTGTTTTGATTGATATTTAAACAATTAGGAGTTTTTTAATATATTCATGGGCATAATTATAAAAAAAAAATGTAAATTGCATTGTATTAAATCAAAAAGACTTTCTATTTTTAAAGGTAATAATGAGGATCCACCTTTGATTAAAAGAATCATATGGAACTCAAGGATAAGCCAATTCATATTGCTACTAGAAATGACAACTTAATTTAATAAGACGTATAAACGGCAATCCTGTATTTTGCCTCTTTTTAGATATTCAGAACACTTTTCAATATTACGGTAAATTTTAATCAAAAACAAAAACCCTAAAAATATAAAGGGTTAAATTGGATTAATAAGAACGTATATAAAACTTCGAGATCGTTCAAGAATTAAGTTACTTTGTTAAAATTTAAAACATTTGTTTGCGCACTTCTTAGAAAATTTAGCTTTGATCATACACAGCACACTTAAAAAAATCATATTTACAATAACTTTATCAATAATATTATACAATATAGAAGAGGTTAACATTACGAAGGGAATCTTATATTAAAATTGACAAGGACATTACTAATGTTAAGCATAATTTTGTCTCCTACACAAGAAACTTCTATTGTGCAACGAACATCGAGATATTTAATTATTATGCATGCTAAAAATTAGATGACTGTAGCTGTGAACTTAAACGTTGACCTTCCTTCGATCGAGAGGTTTTATTGCTATTGGCACTCATTTTGTGTTGGTATCCAAGTATTAATTCAATGTACTTATGTTTATATATTATTTATTGTCAATTATTGACGACATTGTAACGTATATATAGTAAGTGTAATGAAATATCCAAACTACTATTATTATCTTCGAATATGTTTATAATATAGACCAGCCTTTTCCAAAGTGAGCAATAACGCCCCCTAGTGGGTGCTGCAGGCCTAAATGGGGGCAGTACGCGAGCCAGAAAAATAAATGGGAGCGTTGTGTAGAGGCTCAGGAAGGGTTAATAAGAGATTTGTGTACTACCTAACTAATGCGCTCATATCTCAAGTTAACTCTTGCGGGTTATAGTAAAAGTTTCGTTTTGAATGAATGTTTAATCTCCGCTAATATAGCCCACAATAACGCTAAAAAATACACAAGACGCCAAAAATATTTTATTCTAAAAGTGGACAGTAAACGAAATGAGTCTGGGAACCCATATTATAGACGATGCAAAATTCTTACGCCGCGCCGTTTGCATGAGTAGGTTCTTATTTAAAGATAAAATTGATTTTTAAAATGCGTATACCGTACACGAAATTATTGAATAATATATATATAACGGCGGGTAGTCAGAAGGGCCTATTACGAAGCCCAAATAGATCGTCCATATCGGAGGACTACCTTTAAAATAACACTGCAGGCGTGTATAACAACGTAGATTTGTTCCATTTTATCACTTTTCATACGAAAATATAATGAGATGAGCGTGATGTCGTCGGATGTCTTTACTCCTCGACGTTCGGAAACAGAATGTGTGCCAAAATGGCGGCAACTTGCTTTTTATTAACGAACTGTCAAAGTCATTGTCACCATTCTAATAAAATTAAGGTTATCGATGATCACGCTCTCTTTACAATCGAGTAATTAAGTAATCGAGTAACTAGCAATTAAAATAAAAGAAACTAAATCAAACGATCTTCGTAATGATGATGCGACATATATATTTTTAAGTTTCTTACTTTAGGCTTTTTAACTAGCGCTGTCTTAGCGCTGTTGCCAATTTAATGTAACTTCACATAGCCTTATCCTTATAGCACGCGGAAATTAAGACGCTTCGAATGATATTTAGTTACGATGAATAGTTCCAAAGTAATGAAGGAACAGACGAACATTCTTACATACTTAGATTTTAGCCGGTATGTATACCGGCTAAAATCATAACCCTCCTTTTCATTTTGCCGTAGTCGCGTAATAATAACACTCATCATCGTTTTCTTGCAAAAACTGTTAAATTGACCTGAGTATTTTTTATAAGTATTGTAAACAAATAGATATCTATGGTAATCCGCAAATTTTCTTCTACTAATATTTTGTCTTAATTAAAGCAGTAATAATAACCATTTACTGGGTTATACTTCCGGCCAGGACGATCAAACATTTTTAGTGTAAGTGTCAAATCATGTTTCTAGTTAATGCGTTTACTGAGAGATAATTAAAAACTGCTCCAAATCTACACAGATTGATTAAGTTAATGAAACATATAAATTTAAAAGCACACAATAAAAATAGAATATAAATTTTGCGTGGTTTATTAAAACGATGTGTTTCTTGTTACAGGTAAGCAGCATTATCTTTTATCAGTTGCAGATTGGTAACTAAAAACATGTTTTCTATATTAGTTATATAAAATCATTTCATACTTTTGACTTGACCATCTTCGTTATAAAGTAATATCACCATCATCAGCCTTTTTACGTACCCATTAGAAGGGTTCAAGCCTTCCATGAACTTCCACATTAGCCATTGCAGATTTGAAGGTATTAAGGTCTCTTAATGCAGCCGGGACTAACTGCTTAACGTGCCTTACGAAGCACGGAGTAGCTCAAGACACTAATTTTCGGTCATCCATCCCGGATACTCTTGCGAAAGTTGCTTAACAACAACATTCGCGGATTGCGACGTTTATCCACTACGCTACAGAACAACCTCGTGTTTCATATGATATTCAATACTAATCGTACTCCGGCTTTTGTGGACCAGTGTCCCATCATTGTCTCTGGATTTCCTTAACACCAGCACTACGGTTTCTTGAATTACGTCGATGTTCACTTATCATAACCAAAGATTTATTACAGAAAGCTATAGTAGTTAACTATTGACTATAGACGATGGAAATATTGCCATCTCATCGCTGTGTTCACGTTCACC